GGGTCGTCTCACTCACTGGCAGGCCTGCGCTCCGGGTCTGGTCAGGATCCCGCGGCCTGGGTCGTCTCCCTCTCCTTTATTCTTGTTTTCCAACCTTTGACTTTCAATTTATGAGTTCCCTTTTGAGTTAAATGTTTCTTATGTAGCATACAGTTGTATTTTGTTAATTAATCCACTACGCCAGTGTATTTTTGATTGGTGAACTGAGGCCACTTATATCGATGGTTATAACTGATATGTATTGGTTTATCTTTGTCATGTTATTTTTGTACTGTTTCTATAATTCTTCCCTCTCATTGCTTACCACACTTGGTTTCTTTCTGTTGCTGTTCCTGGAATTTTGACCATTCAACCTCTTTCTAGAGTATCTTTCAGTACTCTTTGTAGAGTTGTTTTGGTGGCCATGAATTTCTTAGTTTTTGTCATGGAAATAGCTTATTTCTCCATTAATTTTAAATGATAGTTTTGTAGGCCACATTGGTCATCAATTTCTTTAGTTGTTGTCATGTATGTATCTTATTTCTCCATTGATTCTGAAACACAGTTTTGATGTATACATCAATCTGGGTAGGAAATTGTTTGCTTTCAGGATTTGAGATATTTCACTCTAAGTACTTCTTGATTTGATGGTTAGTGTTGAGAAGTCTGCAATCATTCAAGGTCTCCTGAACTTGTTCTAGGTGGGCTGGAGGTCTGAGATTGAATTTTACCCCTTCGTATTGTGATTTTCTATCTCAAAACAATTTCTATTTTGTTGTCTGTGATGATCCTTCTGAGTTTTGGTAGTAAGTAGCTATATCACTAGTATCAAGGTCACTCTAGGAAAAATCTTTTCCCCAGGGCTTTCTTCTAGATGTAGGAGATTTTTTGTTTGTGTCTGTCCCAAGATCCTACTTTCCTAATTAACTGAGAAGGAGGTGTTGGTTTTTGTTTGATTCAGTCTCCAGTCTTTTGCTGTAGCACTGTGGTGAGATTATTATCCCACAGCTTCTTAATATTGTTACAAGAGGGAGAACAACTGATTACAACAGATATAACATCCAACTACAGAAGTACAGTGAGCAATGATACAATCAAGCTCAACTTAGAAATTCACAAATTGTGGTACCTATTCATTTTGTACTTTAGACCTCAGAAGCAAAGTCTACAGTCATATAACAGAACCAATCATAAATCAGGGGTTTGTATGCAGATGTTTCCTCTTATTAGAGTGGATTTCCCATGTGTTATGGAAATTTAGGGAGGATGGAGTATAAGATAAAGATAACTAGAAAGAAAGCAGAAGCAAGACTGGAGGAAAAAGGATAGTTTCAAGGTTTGAGTAACTAGGGAAGGAGGTAGATAAGAAAGAATGAAGGAGTATTTGAGGGATTATCTGAACTTGGTCTCTGGGTTTGGGGAGAAAGATTAGAGTAAGAAAAAGAAAGGGAAAAAAACTGAGGAAAAAGAAAAAAATGAAGGGGAAAAAAGATAAAATAAAATTACAATTTAAAAAAAGGAGGCAGTCCCACCCGTTTCCATTCCATGTGTCTTTGTCCCAGGCATAACTGTGGTTCACCTAACTTAGCACCTGAAAGTGGCTTGTATTTCACTTTATTCTGAAAGTGGCTTTATTTCAGACTTTTCCATTCCACTAGTCTCTCCTATCCATCATGTGAGTCCTAGTCCACGTCTTACTGTGTGGCTGTCAGTCCCTGGTGGGCTAGTGTCGAGAGTAGGGGGATGGGCCAGGCAACTGGGTTCCTCTGCTCAAGTCAATTGCCAAGTTCCAAGCCTAGTTCTTATTTTTAATTGAGCTAACAGATAAGTTCTTTTAGCAATGATGTACTTGATTATTATACATATATATCATAGATGTATGGTATAAATGCTTAGTGAAATTAGTGAGTCATGATACACTGGACAAAAAAAATTGTTATTCTAAGGTTCTCACACTACTCATGAGGTGATATGGTCTTATTCTGAAAGTGGACTGACATTCATTGTAAATACCTTTTAAATTCTATGGCATACACCAAAAACAACACGTTATGGTTTGAGTATGTCTTTCACAGCTGATATGTTGGAAACTTAATCCCCAACACAACAATGTTGAGAAGTAGGTCACAAAGGCTTTGTTCTCATGAATACATTAATGCTGCAACTATGCAAGATAAAGCCTGATAGTTTTGAGTTTGGTTGTTCTCTCTCCTTTCCTCTCTTCTCTCCCTTTTCTTTCCTATAGGAATGTGGCTCATTGCAAAGGCCCAGGGTTCAATCTCTAGTACTGTCAAAAAATAAAAACAAAAACAAAAAAGGCACTGTGAGGTTAGCAGTGGGAAGTACCTTAAGCAGAGCAGAGGTGATATACATGAATGTGGAAATGACAAGGAACATATCAAAGAAATAAAAGAAAGACTGGTGGGGGGGGCAATAAATGATCTACAACCCTGATACCAGATAATGGGAAAACATCAGAGGATTTTAAAAACACATACGACCAGATGACCGGTCTTAAGACAAATAGGGACATGGTGTCCACAACAGAAGGACATCCACTCTTTCAAGGCAGTCTCATTCAGGAAGATGTTCCCTAAGGTGAATATAGAGCTAGTAATGTGAATCCCCTGGCACAGGGACAGGACAAGAAGCAGAGACACTGAAGATACTGAATGTCTGAGCACAGCCCTTGGGTGTGAACGTCGGCAGGAAAGAGAAGCCCAGGTGGAAGCAGCTACACTGGGAGAAAAGGTGTCAAGAGACTAGAGATTTGTGAAGGTAAAATCAAGGAAAGAAATGAAGTTACTGAAGAGCCAACAAGAGTTGGAGGAAAGTTAAAAGGGTATGTTAAAGGTCATAGGACTCTCAGAGAGGGAAGACTTTAGAAATTTCCTTAACTCTTACAGAACAGCAGAGTTTGGATATTGATGGATTTGACAGTACTGGTGCTATACACATTATTCTTTCCTTTGCATACGCACTTTCACATTTATGTCTACAATTGGTGCACTGACTCAAATAAAACCGGTTATGTATTGTAATTATTAAAT